ACACCGCGGCTGGAGGAGCTTGAACGGAGGCTCTGGAGCGGGACCCGCATGCAAAGGTGTTCGCGCATCTGGACGACGTGTACGTTGTCACTGATGCGGCCAATGCCCCGTTTGCGGTGGAGGTGTTGCGGCAACTGGCGGCTTCTCTTACGATGGAGCAGCGCGTCGATAAAACCAAACTGTGGACTCTCCGTCCAGACGCGGCCGTGCCCGCGGGGTCTCTCGATTCCAGGTGCCGTCTTTGATCTGTCCGGGATCCGTCTCGCCGTTCGTGCAGCGCGGCGATGGCGACAACGACGCGTTGGACCCCTCGCGGGCCCCGATCCTGCAGGACAGCCCTGGCCCAGCAGCCCTAGCCGCCTTGCAGGCGTATGTTGGCCGACTGCGGGAGATCCAGGCCGCGGGGCTCAGTGCGCAGGCGCGGCTGGTGCTCCCCCAGACTTTCGTCAACTGCGCCGCGGTCCACTTGCAACGGGGCTTCCATGCTCCCCAGGCGTGGTGCGATTTCCTGGGCACCGAGGTCGTGGTCTTCGTCGAGGAGCTGCTTGGCGTATCGGCGTGGCCCCTTCGGCAGCACAGCGGGCGCAGATTCTCTGCTTCTCTAGTTCGGGGACCTGGGCCTGTGCTCCGTGGGCGCCAGGAGGCACGCGGCGTACGTTGGCTCCTGGCAACAGTGCTTCAGCGAGGTCGCCGGCCACGTCGGGTGCGCTTCGCCAGCGGCTTTTTCAGGGGTGCCCCGCGGACGCGCGCCGCAATCCAGGCAGTGGAGGCCGGTTGGCGAGCGCAGGGCGTCGCCGGCGTCGTGCCTCGGGAACGGCGCTTCGGCAGCAGGGTCCCCCATCGGCAGAAGGTGTGGACGAAGGTGGTTCACCAGGCTGCGCACTATGGCGTTCTCCAATCCCTCCCAGAGAACGGGAGCATCGACGTCCATTTCGGCCAGAGGCAAGGTCGCGGGGAGCTTCCTGCTGGCGCCGTTCCTGGAGGAACACCTGATGCCGGACGAGCAGTTCATAGCGGCCGTTCGAATGCGCTGGAGGCCGATGTCCACGCGCTGGGGCGCAGGTGCCAGCATAAGTCAGCGGAGACGGGGGCCGTCTGCAACGACGAGCTGGACGGCAGGGGCCGCCACGGGCGGATCTGCAAGACCGGTGGTGGCTCCGTGGCCTGGCACGACAACGTTCGGGGCTGGCTGGCGGCTTGGGTGGCCAAGGTCGCCGGGCGGACCGCCTTGACGGAGCAGTTCGTGCCTGGTGGTGCCAGCGTGTTCGGGCTCCAGACGGGCGCGAGCGAATCGAGCGGGCTAAGCTCGACGTCGCGCTCGACAACGCCAGCGGCCGCCGGGTGTACTTGGACGTTGCCGCTGTGGAGGCTATTACGCCCGACGGGCACGAGCGGCGGCAGCGGGCCGCCAGAGACGGAGCTGCAGCAGCAACAGCAGAGGACAAGAAGCGCGCGCGCCATCCCGTGCCAGGCCTGGCATCTTTTGTTATCGAGTGTCTCGATCGGGTCGGCGAGAGCGCCGACGAGCTCTTTTGTTCTCTGGCTCCGACGGACCCCGCCCAGAGGTCGCGGGTGATGGGGGCCGCCAGGCAGAGCCTGTCTGTCTAGGTGCAGATTGGCAACGTCGAGGACGTGCTCTCGGCTGGCTGATTGGCCCCTGCCCACTGCGGTTTTCTACCTCGTTTGCTGACCTCTTCTCCTTTTTCCCTCCTCCGCCGCGTTCTCCTCCATTTCCCTCCTCTTCCTCCGTAGTCGTTTTGGCTAATCATGCTCGCGCGTTGCGCGCTCGCCGCGCCCTCGCCGCAGCTGCCCGCTTCCAGCGCCTTCCTCTCCCTCTCCCCCCCTCTCCTTTCCCGCTCTTTGCCTCCAGCGCGTGCGCGCGGCGCCTAACGGCGGGTCGGGTGGCTCACTCCCCACCGCCGCGCCCGCGTCTCCTCCTCCTCACGTTTCTTTCCGGCTTCCTCCTCACCTCCTCCAGCCTGCTCCATGACCAAGGTGCCCGCATCCCTTGTTGTTTCTTTCCCGAATGGAAGGAATGCGGCCCGCTGTCGGATCTAAGCAGCGTCGCTGTGCTTTCCGCTTCCTCCTCGAGCTGTTTCGGGTCTCTTTTGGCTTTCGTCCGGGGCAGCCCGGTGACCAGCTGTGCGGCCCTGGGGCTGTCAAGACGATGCTGTCCCAAGAGCCAGTGGAACTGCTGAACTTTCTTCGCCGCTGCAACTTTTTGGGGGTGCGCCCTGTCGCTGGCACCCAGGTGGAATGGCGCCGTCCACCGCGGGTGTGGAGAACATTCCCTTGATGGGCACACCCTTTCTTTGTTTTTTCCCAACCCTCCTTGGTTGTGTATTCGTTGTGAATAGAGCACCGCGGTCGCGTCTTCTTCTCCCGCCTCCCGCCTCCTCCTGCCCTCTCTTCGCCGTCGCTGGGGGGCTGCGACTTGCGAGATTGTCGCCAGTTTCGAGGGCTGCCTGTGGGTCCAGCGGAGTGAGGCACCGCGCAGATCTGAGCGGGACCTCGCCGTCCCTGGTGGGCTGCGATCTGCGAAGCCGTCGCCACTTTCGAGGGTTGCTGGTGGGTCCAACGGAGTGAGACACCGCGCAAATCTGAGTGGGACCTCGCCGTCCTTGGGGGGCTGCGATCTGCGACGGAGGAGGAGGAGGAGGAGGAGGAGGAGGAGGAGGAGGAGGAGGAGGAGGAGGAGGAGGAGGAGGAGGAGGAGGAGGAGGAGGAGGACCAGTGTCAACCCAAGTGGAAAACCTTGAAGCATGCCAAACCGTTATTCTCGGTAATCCAATGCCTCGGATGAGCCTGACTGTTGCGTATTGACGATCCTGAATCGTGCCAGAACGCCATTCCTGGGACCCCGATTCCGCGAGTCATCGTAACTGTTGCGCCGTGAAAACCGTGAACCCTTCCAAAACACATTTTCTGGTACGTCGATCCTGGGAATCCGTGAAACCTTTGTAATTGTTTAACAAGAATGTGCGCGGCGCTTAGGCGAAAACCGCATCTTGAAAAGGAAGCGCCCTCAATCCGTGAAGCTCTTGTTGCAAATTTTGAAAACGAATGTGCGTGGCGGTAAGGCGAAAACCACATTTTGAAAACGACCCGCCCTCAGTCCGTGAAACTTTTGCAAATGTTGAAAACGAATGTGCGTCTTGCCAGGGCGAGAGCAACATTTTGATAACCACCCGCCCTCAATCCGTGAAGCTCTTGCAGTTCTTAAAGCGAATGTGCGCGGCGCTAAGGCGGAAACCACATTTTGAAACTCACCCGCCCCGATCCGTGAAGCTCGTCGAAATTGTCAAAACGAATGTCCGCGGTGCTATGGCGAGAGCCACATTTTGAAAACGACCCGTCCTCAATCCGTCAAGCTCTTGTAAATTTTGAAAACGAATGTGCGTGGCACTAAGGCCGGAACCACAATTTCAAAAACGACCCGCCCTTCATCTGTGAAACGGTTGCCAATGTTTAAGCTTCAGGGTCATAGATGGTGAGGAATTTTCAGGCGGAACGCCCGGTCCGCCCTAAAACTTAGGTTCGAGGTGCGACAGGGAGAAGGTATGTGTTTAAAGAAGGAATGGAGGAGGGGGAGGAGGAGGAGGAGGAGGAGGAGGAGAGGAGGAGGAGGAGGAGGATGTGGAGAAGGGGTTGGAGGAGGCGGAGGAGGAGGAAGAGGAGGAGGAGGAGGAGGAGGTGGAGGAGGTGGAGGAGGAGAAGGAGGAGGAAGAGGAGGAGGAGGAGGAGGAGGAGGAGGAGGAGGAGGAGGAGGAAGACGAGGAGGAGGAGGAGGAAAAGGAGGAGAAGAAGGAGGAGGAGGGAAGAGGAGGTGGAAGAGGAGGAGGAGGAAAACGACCAGTGTGAACAAGAGTCATCAACGATGTTGGAATGAACCCTCCCCCCAAGCTCCCTCTCCACAGCCTTGCCATTGAGGGAGCTGCCTCGTTGGAAGACAACCGTTTGAAGACCTTGAAGCATGCCAGAACATTGTTCTCGGGATTTTCACGCCACGGAGCAGTCTCATTGGAATCGTGCCAGAAATCTACTTTGAGACTTCCAACACCGCGAATCAACATAACTGTTGCGCCCGCAGAAGCATGAATCCTTCCAAACATACCATTTCTGGTTCGTTGACCATGGGAACCCGTGAAACGCTTGCAATTTGAGATACTGCGCGGCGCAAAGGCGAGAAACACATTTTGAAAACCATCTGCCCTCAATCCGTGCAGCTCTTGCAATTTTTAAGGACGACTGTTCGCGGCGCTATGGCGAGAGTCACATTTTGAAAACCACCCGCCCCCGATCCGTGAAACTCGTGGACATTTTTAAAACGAATGTGAGCGGCGCTAAAGCGACAGCCACATTTTGAACATCACCCGCTTTCAATCCGTGAAAGTCTTGTACATTTTTAAAACGAGTGTGCGCGGCGCTAAGGCGAGAGCCACATTTTGAAAAGCATCCGCCTTCAATCCGTGAAACACTTGTAAGAGTTTACAGCGAATGTGTGCGGCCCTCAGGCGAGAGCCACATTTTGAAAACGACTCGCCCTCAATCCGTGAAGCTCTCGCAACTTTTTCAAACGAGTATGCGCGGCGCTAAGGCGAGAGCCACATTTTGAAAACCACCCGCCCTCCATCTGTGAAGCTGCTGCCATTTTGAAATTTCAGAGTCGTAAGTGGTGAGAAAGTCTTCGGAGTGCGACAGGGATAAATTATTCACGAGGAAGATGAAAGAGGAAGAGGAGGAGGAGGGCGAGGAGGAGGAGGAGGAGGAGGAAGAGGATGAGGAGGAGGTGGAGGACGAGGAGGAGGCGGAGGAGGAGGAGGAGGAGCAGGAAGAGGAGGAGGAGGACGAGGAGGAGGAGGAGGAGGAGGAGGAGGAGGAGGAGGAGGAGGAGGAGGAGGTGGAGGCGGCGGCGGCGGCGGAGGAGGAGGAGGAGGAGGAGGAGGAGCAGAAAGAAAAGGAAGGGACGGGGAGATCGCAGCCGCGGGCCTCCGCTATAG